AAAAAAAAAATCTCCATTACAAGGAAAATTAATGTCAAATTAAWAAGATTGCATACAAATATTCAGCACTGAAAATCCATTTTAGATGCCAAACGTTTTGGGAAAAAGTTCTATTTAAAAAAAAAAAATTCTAATTAAAGCTGATGTCTTCTTAAGGCAAAGATGTTTTCAAAACTCCATTCAAAATTATCAAAAGCAACTACAAAACATGTATCATTATGTCAAATCAAACTGAATTTTTCTTCAAATTCCAAATTGTTTGTAACACAGACAAAGTCTGCCTGAATTTCAGTATGTTTGATTTCTTACCATAAATTATTTCCCCAAGATATAATGGGAAACACCAAAAWTAAGCTGTGCAAAATCCTGAAATATTGCACAAAAGTGCTGACAAATAAATCCAAGCCAAAAAAGGCAAATGGAAAGTGAATGAATAGAGGACAAGGTGAGCCATCAAAGAATGGCATTGAAACACCATACCTCACAATCAAGAAACAATAAACTACACTTGAATGAAATGAAAATATTATTACAAGTAAAACCAAGAGTTGTTTTACTATGAGTTGTCCAAAGCACTGGTATTATATGCACAAGCTGTCCAAAATCAACCCAAAATTTGTAATCATTCAATTATTCTTGGCAGAAAATTAAAAATTTGATGCATTAATGGTGATACATGTAGTTGTTCATAATTTGGAAATGCAAATATTGACGGTGCAAATATTTCATCTTTTACTTCTCGTATACGACTCATTTACTTCTGTCAAGAAGTTGTTTTGCTGGTGAAAAAACTGATCTTAGGAAATAAACACAAAATAAAAATAAGAAAAACATGCAGAGGTCACATTGACTATGCCAAACAAGGAATAAATGTGATAGATTCTTTAGATTTCTTTAGCTATTAAAATAATATATATAAACAAATTAAGTTTTTGTAGGGACGAGAACGTAACCATTGAATATCTAGACATCAACAACTCAGTTTCCCTTAGCGTGAAATTGAAAGAGTAGATTTCACATGATTCTTGACATGTTAGACGGTGTGACATGTCCTGGCATTGAAATGGTTTCCACTTATTTCATCGTATCTTTTTCATCCAGTATTTATTCCAATATGAAATCTACTCTGTTAAA